CTGCGGTGGATCATTGCTGTTACAAGATACCGAGCAACATGTGTCCACATTTGATCTCTCGACAGATGTGAGTAAGCGTGTGCGTCTTTGATAAAACTGCAGGGCCAAAAACCTACTGTACGCAAGTACACTAATGCAAATGGAGGGTGTTTCGGACCCGTAGAGGGAAAACCGAAGCCTTGATTTGCATTCAGCTTGCAGAAAAGACTCTGATAGAGTCTTAGTTTGATGCTTAATTAGTTGCTTGTCATGTCAACTGATGCTTTTTATTCACAGCGACAAACTTCACTGACTACTGCACCGGTTCCTCTGAGGACATCTGCGGTCTTCCTCATATGCACGATGACGCTAGCATGCAGGAAAGAGAAAATAAATGAGATCTCTTTAATATTTCAATCATTTCTTCTAGACGGCAATACAATTACAGTACATGGATCTACTTCTCAGATGTTTCTCCTGAGAAAATGAGACAGGTTGAGAGGTTTAATAATGTGCTCAGATACCAAAGTTTGCCATCAATTGATCTGAGCTGCTCCACATTCATTTTATAGCTTTGTATCCTTAATGTATGATAACTATTGACTTTTGATTTTTTTGGTATAAACCTGCATTTTTTGCATTAGCAGTTCTAAACAGCAGTGATTACATAATCAGATTCCAAAATGTTGTACTTGTAATTACGGTAGATTATATTACATTTTAAAATTCTTATTATCAGATTACAGTTACTTTAGTAACACTTTAGTATAGGGACCAATTCTCAGTATTAACTAGATGCTTATTAGCATGCCTATTATTAACATATTGGCTGTTTATTAGTACTTATAAAACACATATTCTGCATACATCCCTAATCCTAACTAATACCTAAATTTAACAACTACCTTATTAACTATTAATAATTAGCAAATTAGGAGTTTATTGAGGCAAAAGTTGTATAGTTAATGGTTTCTCAATAGTGAGAATTTGACCTTAAAATAAAGTGTAACCGCTAACTTTATTATGGATTACGTGATTACTAATTATTCACAAATGGAATTCAATTATTCATCATTTATTGATGCTCCCTAATTCTTTTCTTAAGTTTAAATGTGATGCAGGTATTCCTGGACTTTTTGTCAGTCAAACCAGTTTGACTTAAACTATTTACTTGAAGTTTCCCTGAGATTAAAAGTTAATATTTCATAATATTTCATTATTTAATTTAATAACACATTTGCATGCTCCCAGATGTAAGTTAATTGTCATACTACTTTTTTTTTTTAATAACGATAATCCCATTTAAATCTATTAACAAGTTATGTCAAAAGTAATCTAAAAGTAATCTTTGATCTCACATTCTCCTATATTTTGGTTCCTAGACACGGCCGTAGATTTGTGTTGGTCAATGGAATATTTCAGTCATGCTAAAATACACACAATGTATAGTTAATGGTTTGTCAATAGTGAGAATTTGACCTTAAAATAAAGTGTAACCGTTAACTTTATTATGGATTACGTGATTACTAATTATTCACACAATGGAATTAAATTATTCATCATTTATTGATGCTCCTTAATTCTTTTCTTAAGTTTAAATGTGAAGCAGTTATTCCTGGACTTTTTGTCAGTCAAACCATTTTGACTTAAAATATTTACTTGAAGTTCCCCTGAGATTAAAAGTTAATATTTCATTATTTAATTTAATAACACATTTGCATGCTCCCAAATGTAAGTTAATTGTCATACTTCTTTTTTTTTTAATAACGATAATCCCATTTAAATCTATTAACAAGTTATGTCAAAAGTAATCTAAAAGTAACCTTTGATCTCACATTCTCCTATATTTTGGTTCCTAGACACGGCCGTAGATTTGTGTTGGTCAATGGAATATTTCAGTCATGCTAAAATACACACAAAACATAGTAAAGTGTGTTTTACACATAGATATGTATAGATGTGTAGCCACGTCCGCCATCTTGGAACGGTCAACTTGCCATCATTCACCATATTATGGGTTCGCAGACCATCGGCTGTGCAGGATTGTGGCACCTTCGAATATTCATTGGTTACTATGGTGAATGACGTCAAGTTGACCATTACAGTATGATGGACGGCTTACGTATAGCGACACCATAGAAACAGTTGCTAAAGAGGCATCTACGTATACATGTCTATGCTTCTACACTCTTAAAAATAAAGGTTCTTTTTGGCTTCTGTGGTTCCATGAACAACCTTTAACATCCATGGAAGCCTTCCATTTCATAAAAGGTTCATAAAAGGTTCTTTATGCTCAAGAAAAGGATCTTCAAATTATTCAAATGTTCTTTACGGAGGGAAAAAAGGTTTCTTGAAAAACTGTTCAATGAAGGGTTCTTTAGGGAACCTAAAATGGATTTTCGTAAACCTCCCTTTGGAACCTTAATTTTTAAAAGTGCATGCTCTCCTTTTCATGTCGTACCTTCTGTAAGAACCTGTGGTGAAATCACTTTTTTGTGGCTCGGTGCTTTAATTAGTAATCATGTAATCAACAAGACTTAAGTCTGACACCAGCAAAGTTTGAACTTTTGAATTAGTCAGCAAGTGTTCTCAGTTTATCAATCAAGCGATAAGCAGTTATCAATGCTGAAATGTTTACAGTCCAGCAGTGTATGTAGCTATAGGAGGTCCCGTGGAGGAACAGCTTGTGTCTATCTTCACAGCTGAATATTCCTCTGTGATTAATTACGTATTTTCAGGGTGCTGAAATGTCTGCCTCATAATTCCTTAGCCAATGTCAGCGCTGACGTTATCTGTCAGGGATCCCTTTTTTTTTTTTTTTTTTTTTTTCACCTTTTTGCGATAGAAATGCTACAGCCTCTTTAATTTCTTCAACAAAAACCTGTCAGGGATCTTTTTTTTTTTGTGCTGAGGTCGCAGTTCTGAGGTGGGAGCAGTTAAAATCTAATGGACAATCCATCCTCCCACTGTGCGTCTGTCTCTCTCATACATGCTGATTGACAGAAAGACCGCTCGTTTGCAAACCTCTGGACCAAAGAGCTCATAAAATGAGACAGGTTCCTTAAACTCTTCCTGGTTTAACAGTGTCTGCAAATTACACACGCACTTTACTTTTGAGAGACATTCTACAAAACAGGGGATTTCCACTAAAATGACAGTTCTATTATTACTTTAAGGTAAATAAGGTTTCTTATGAATGTTTTTTTTTCCCCCCCCATTAATGTGAATAAGAAAACCAAAGTTTTCAAGCCAGGGACGTAAAACATGGTGTTTTGTTTAAAAAAAAAAACTTTCTATAACTGGTTATATGGACATGCCAAAATGCATATGTTCCCTTATTTATAATAAAATAGGGCTATCGTTAAAATTTTGACAGAATTAATCTTTATGAGCAATTAATACGTTTAAGCTTGAACACTTAAGTTTCATGGTTACTTGTTTGATGGAAAAAAAAACAGAGAAAATCTTTATTTTACAATCTGTTCCTAACAGCACATGAACTATTATTCCTAACAAAATGTATTATTATTAGTTCTTTCTCATTAGCATCTTTCCTTGTCTATTTCACTCCTTTAGACATCTAGATTGCATAGCAATAACAGTCTGAATTTCATTTTAATGTTCTCTTCATAATGTTCTTCTCTTTGATATTTATATTATTTTGCTGTCCAAAACATCCGAGTTCAAGACTCATCTCAATAACGATGAGTCAGGGTTTCATAATCTTTTCCTGAACTTTCTGACTTCTTAAGAAGTCTTAAATCTAGGTCTTATATCTATCTGCCCGTCTTTAATTATTCTGTTATCGTAGAGTATCAAATCTCAGCTGAACTCAATGCTCTGTACAGCATATCGAACGAGTTAAGGTCACATTTCATGATGCATCACATTGTGTACTGTTCCTGTGTATGTTCTTGTTGATCCAGGGATTGGGAAATGCTGAGGGTCAGGGGCTTGCACAACAAACCTATCATTTTGATTTCATGGGTAGTTAATTGGTTGGATGAATCTCACGAAAACTACCAGAAAATGCCCCTTTCATTTTCTACCAGATAATACAAAGAAAGAAAAAAAAAGAAAGAAAGAAATTATATTCTGAATAATGAAAACTAGGCCACTGGCTCATTTCTGGCATAGAATGTTCACTTCTCACAATCCAATCAATTCCTGTCTTAGATTTTCTCATATTGAACATCCAGTTTAACTCAGAAGTGGTTGTCAGTGGGACTACATATAGGCTAATTCAGATAACCTTGCCCCTTAAATGGCCCCTATAGGCTAATGAACTGTTATTGACTACTTCAGCCTACATGTCAGTCAGTGGGTGGTTCTTGACCGAAATAAGCTGTCACAACACAGATATTATAGTTATATAGATTGTTCTGTATCATGCTTTTGCGTAGTGCACATACAGGGATGATATGTGTAATACGAATGTTGATTGCAGGCAGAATTATAGCCTTAGAATTACAGAATTACACCTGATAATGTTAAATCAGGGTAGAACAGCCCTGCATTGGTTGTTTTTTATATTCTTTAAGTCCCTGCTCCGATATTTGCAGGCGTCATCCAGTCCTTCACAGGAATTGGCGGCTTGCAAAATTCAAAAGTTAACGGTCACAACGGCCATCTTCGTTTATCGATGGATGTGGATGTTTTATCTTCGTGGATGTTTATTGTGAGATAAAATGTATATGTGCGAGATTTAAAAAAAATATTTGACACAGTTGATCATATTTGTAAGACTATAACCACACGATTTTATAGACTAAAAATAGAGATAAGTCGAGAAATCACCGCCGAACAGTACATTCTTACTACCTGATGATAATTTGCTGCTTTTAAACACTAGATTGCACTGAAACCTGTAAATAATAAGATAGTCAAAGTACAGTTCTGTGTTTTCCTGACAGGAATGTTGATCAAGGAACATGTCTCGTGTGTTCAAAGGCTGCCCATGACACTAATGCAGTTGTAGGAGAGGTCGTGTAGGTTGCTCAAGCCTACAGGTTTTCAGCTCTGTTCGTTTCGGAGGCGCAGTGACGGACATCCCGGAGTCGAGCGCACTGGACTCGTAAGTTCGGTCCTTTTTTGCATTGTTAAATCCACTTTTTATCTTCTTCATGAATGAATGTCGGATGTCAGAGATAACATGAGTAGATTGTAATGTAATATGTGAGTATTTATTCGCTTTACTACACTGTAAAAGTGAAAATGTGCAGGCATTACCTTAAGGGGATAGATGTAACCGACATGGCTTTTAAAAATTGACTTTTGCTGGTGTCATCCAACGTAGTCCTTGATTAATTTATGTTAAATCATATTTTTAAAACCTGTTAATTTGAACGTTACCACATGAAACACGTTTAGGTTTACTTGACGGAAATCCCCGCTTTTACATATCAATTTATTTGTTTTATTTAACGTCAGTACTGTTGTATGTTTAATTGATTTTATCAAGTAATTTAATTTCAATTTCAATGTATTTGTTAATTCTTGAACGTGAATGTGTAAACTGTTGACATGTAAAGAGATTTTGATTTATTTTAATATCTTTATATTTTATGCAGTATATGATGCTGTTATACAACAGATTCACACCAATAGATTCAGTATTCATAGCTTTTTGTAAGTAGTGTTGACAGTCTTTGTGTTAACTTAGTATGAATTTTTGTTTCTGTCAAGAACATATAATGAATTTTGCTGGAAGAAACTGAACTAGGAGATGTGTGCTGTCCATGGTGCTGAAATCATGTAGACTAGCATTTTCGGACATTAACTGAGAAGAGTTTCATTGCTTTCCCTCTCATATTTTGTTTTTCAGATAAACACAATGTAGTCAGTCTTGAACAAGTAGATTTCAAGTTTGAAAACCTTTTTAATCCATCCACTCAATGTGAAATGGGCATTGTGTAATTGTTGGTCTGACTCTGTAAGCACTTATGCCTTAAAGAATGAGAGTCTTAGGGAGGAGGACTGTTGAAATGATGCTACACGGAGATGGAGAATGGAGGACCCACAAGAGTGCATGACAAGCGGGTCAGTGCTGGTTTGAAGAAATCATAAAAAGAGGAGAAACGCATATCACCACTTGAAGCCATGGGGATACGACACCTCCTGCTCCTTTTGGTCTATCTAGACCCACTGTGCGTCCTGAGCGCATCCACGGCCAAGCGGAGCAAACCCCCTCCAAAGAGACCCCCCAAAGTAAAGGAGGTCAACAGCACTGTTGCTCCGACAGTGGCACCCCAACGGATCACACAAGTCCAGGCACCCATCATCGGTGATCATGACACCTGTCTCGGCTACTACGACGTGAGCGGTCAGTTTGATAAAGAGTTCTCCTGCAACAACACTGACCACCGGTACTGCTGCGGGAGCTGCTTCCTGCGCTTCTGCTGTCCCGTGAAAGCCAAACGGGTGGATCAGAGAGTCTGTACCAACTACAACACGCCCGACTGGATCAAAACCCAACCGCCCTCACCCGCACCCACAGGGGACACGTACGACCCAGCACTGGACCAGACCAACACCACCGTCTACATCACCTGCGGGGTCATCACCCTCATTATCATCCTGGGGATTTCTGCCAAAGTGGCCTATGACAAAGCCACCAGACCACCTCAAGAAATGAATGTCCACAGGTAAGCCCAAGAGATGTCTTTGGAAATGCAAGCTTTGGGTTAATGCATAATGTGTGACGTAGTGATTGTATAGAAGTGAAGTAGCCTGGTTCAACCACCCCAGGGCTGGTAACCAAAGTTTGTACTATGCAAAAATTTGCAGTTTTTACATTAAAAGGATAGTTCACCTAATATTTAAAATTATGTGATCATTTACTTACCTACCCAAACCGGTATACATTCTTTCTTCTGTGGTACTTTCAATGGGGTCCATTTATGTTTGGACCCCAGTGTTATTCAAAATATCTTCTTTTGCAATACTTAGAAGATAGAAAGTCATACAGGTTTGGAACGATGTGAGGGTGAGTAAATAATGACAGAATTTTCATCTTTGGGTGAACAGTCCCTTTAAGAAGTTATTTCTACCTTAACATACTTAGTGCATGTGAGAGTGCATAAGATATTTAAGCAGATTTACAGTGCTAAATGTGGCATATGGATAACCATTAACAGAAAGGTTTGATTCATATCACCACTCTGCTTCAAGATACTCCAGGAGAACCGAACCTGTACTGTTAGTCATTTTGGATGAAAGTGTTTGCCCAAAATATTAGCCCATTAACTCCCAATTACATTCTCAAAATCAGAAATTATGAGAATATAGCCATCAAAAATATGAAAAGGGTGTATTTTTTTATTCTCATTAGCATTTCAAATCAATTTATTCAGATAAAAGTGGGTAAATTCAGATAAACACAATATGTTTTAGAGACACCAAAACAGTTTGAAGAGCACAGACTTTGTGTAAAATAAGAGTGATTTGTAATTTTTAGTGAATGAGGCTGAATGAGGAAAGCAGAAATGAACGAGACCTTGTAACACATTTCTTTTATAACATACAGTACATAAACTAGACAGTAAGTGAAAGCTTTTGCGGTCTTGATCACAAAATAAGCACTGGGTTCTGGGTTAAGATGGAATATTAATAGTTAATTGCATACTGTATTAAATCTAGGACTCATCTGCGTCTAGGAGGGATTGATTCTGGATTTCATTAGTCTTGTGCTGAGATAGAGGTCAACAGGAAACCGTCGTAGTAGAATAGAACTAGGTCTTCATGGCGCAGTTTGTCAATAAGACAGATTTATATTGCTTTGGTTTGTCAGTGTCAAAAAAAGAGAAAGGTTTCTTTGGTTTTGAAGGTAAAAAAATGCTGTCATGTTTTATATCTATTGCTTATTAATTTATTTCGGTAAAGAAAATATTGAATTTTCATACTAAAAATGACGTAACACTGACTTCATAGCCATTTTAGCCAGTCACCCGGCAAGTCAAAGTCGTTCCTGTGCAGAGCTGTTAAGAGTATTAAAGATGGCACATTGCTCTTCTCTTATCGAACTGATCCGTGTTGCAAATATGAGTCAAGCTCAGACAGTCTGATAAGAGTTTGGCTGGCGCTCACAATGAGGTTTATTGGATTTGTGAAGACCGAATTACATTCTGTACAGCCGGTTGACACTTAAAATGAACAATCTGTTGTTATTTACTCATGGCATTCCAATGGAACTTTCTTTCTTCGCTGGAAACCAAAGCAAAGTGACCAAGGGCTGATGATGAGCCCAAAGAAAACACCATAAAAGAAGTCCATTGGACGTAAAGGCTGGAATACACTACATGACTTTTAAAATCTGAACAGATTTTTAAAACGCTATCATACACTTATGTAAATGGGTACAGAGAAAAACTGGCTATCGTACACTACATGACTAAGGATCACACACTACCAGACTTTAAAGTCGTTTTGAACACAATGAACACATGACAAATCAAAACAATTTTCATTCTAAAATCGACTCAGGATATCAAACATGTTTGTCTGTCACCATCATACACTATGAGATTTTCTATGAAATCTGTCAACTCAAATCTGCAGACTGGCTCTGACTTTCGGCAACTAGTGTCAATATGTCCAGACTGTAAATCGGGGCAAAAATCTTGTAGTGTATTCCAGCCTTTATCTTCTACTTTCCAAGTCTTCTGAAGTCAGTTAAGTTATTAAAAATTCAGTCTTTCCTCGCACAAAACTATCATGTCTTCAGAAGTCTTGAAATGTAGACCACAAGCCACATGAGCTACTTCTATGGTGCTTGACAATCTCTGATCACTATGAGTCAGTCATTGATTGCATTTATTGTGTTGATTTTTACATTTAGAGGCCCTGAGCATTTATATATTTCCCTGAACTGATATTGAACATTTCTTAGAGGGTTTTGGGGCTAAACTCCCATCTTAGATCTGTCACGTTCTGCATCAATACTTGCACCATTTTTGACAAACCGGCCCTGCTGCTCACTGTCTCACAGAGACGCCAGTGAAGTTTCATACTACAGTGTGAGCCGTGGGGGTACAGAATGTTCCAGAACATTTGTTTTAACATTTCCACCCTTTGAATCCGCTCGGCTTCATTTAGGCTGTATGTAGAGGGTGGTAATTTGCACCAAAATACAGTTAAATATGTTATGAGTGTGTTTACCCAGGGGCTCAGATGTGTAGTGAAACCACTCCGAGCTGGAAGGCTCTTGATGTGTTTGTGTGTTTGAAGAGCACAGGCGCATGAAATGCAGTTTCTCTGAGGAGAACGTCTGTATGACTAGAGATGAGACCTCGGTCAATGAGGGACAAGATCTGTCTCACGCCTCTCTGGCTGATTCATTATGAATCGATTATGAGGACTATAGAGTTTTTGTAAGTAGTGCAATATGGCTTGGTTCTGGTTTGACCTCATGATCTGTAGTTATACTTGAGACTGATGACTAAAGTATTTTAATGACCTCATTCTGGGTAAAAAATGGATTAGCTCAAATGGATCATGGGTTGTAATTCATGCTAACTTATGACTCATTTGTGCCGACAAAGATCCCAACTACTATTGTGTTACATAATTCCTATTTTTCAAAGCTTATTTGGGTGAAAGTCATATTAAAAGTAATTAAAAAATAATATATTTATTTATATGAAAATATCAAAAAAATAATATGTATAAACGCCTACATCAAAAAAAAAAAGCACGATTATTTTTATGGTAATTGAGCACATTTCCCTTCCAGTTCTCTTTTTTTTTTAATGTGAAAAATTCCCTATTATTTTAATTATTAAGTAATGTATAATGCAAATTGTTTGACATCACTGTAGAATTGTTATATGGAATTTAACTAAATTTTGTGTTAATTTTAATATTAAATATACATACATATTGTGTCTGGACAAGATTTTATTTGGTGAAAATGTGCTTAATTGTCTTAAAAATAATCAAAATCTTAACTCTTACAGCTCCTAGAAACGTATTTTTTATTTAGGCAAAATATATATTTTTATAATTCTGGAGTGAAATATGACCTGGAATTTTCTTAATGAGATTCACCCACTTTAATTTGCTTACTTTCCTTTTTGGACTACTTGCTCCAAGAGTTTTTTTTTTCATCTTAAACACAAAACATATTTGTCAATTCATCAACAAGCCTGTATCTCTTTCAACTATTTTCTCTGCATCACAGTGACGTGACATATGAGGAGTTTCTTTGATTATAATGCCGTCTAATTGTCTGGTGCTGATGACATAATCAGGAATGTGATTGGGCAAGCAGCTGCAGTCTTGTCCGATCGCTCTTCCCTGTGTGATGAGTCTCCAACTCTTAGCTACCCAGAAACCCCTGCTGTGTCTCAACGTGTTGTCTCTCTTTGTTTAAATATTGATGCCACTGTGCTGTCTTAGACACCTGCTGAAATGGCCAGGGAATGATCAGCCTGTGGGAGAAAACATCAGAATCAAGAAAAGTCCTTGAGAGAAATTCAGCAGTCAGGAAATAAGGCAGAAAGAACATAACTTTGCTAACAAAATCATAAATTAAAGTTCAGACCTAATGAGTGCTGGTGCCATGAATATGTGATAGTCTCAGCCTCAGACGTCATGCCCACAGACTGCTGGCTGAATGTCTGATGCATATGGCACACAAAAGTGGAAGCACTTCAGGAGTTTCGAAGTCGTCATCGGATTGGTTGAATTATACAGGATTTCCGGTAGACGTGTGTGTCGCGTTCTTTAACGTTACGCCTGGAAACAAATATGCCGTGATGCCAAACCCCCTCACGAAAGAAGAAAGCCGTCGTGTTAGCAACTGTAACAACGAGCGCTTATCCGGATCAACTAAACAGTGGATTTTCAAAAGTATGTGAAATATTTAAAGTTTGCAGCATGGAATCTTTAAAATACGTCCGAGAGTTTTACACACTTATCAGGATCAACTAAACGCTGGATTCTCAATAGGGTGTGAAATATTTAAAGTTTGCGGCACAGAATCTTTAAAATACGTCCGAGAGTTTTACACAATGTTATTGTGGCGACATTTCCACGCCCCGAAATGTGATGCTGAAATGAAGCGAACTGTGATTGGTTGTTTGACATGTCGGTCAAACGGCCTCATGGGCGGGCCTTGG